AACCAGAAGGCTGGCGGTTCAAACCCACCAGCCACTCCTCGGAAGGAAGATGGGGCAATCTACTTCCATAGTGATACTGCCTCGGAAACCCAAGCAGGGGTCACTATGAGTCGAGTCTGACTTGATGGCACATAACAACAACAACAATAGTCAGACTAGAACATTCATTGTCCAGCTTCTCAGTGCAAGCATCGGACACCTCTGGAACAGACACGGCTGCAGGACATTCAGTGTGGGAAAGTCTGCTGGGAACCACCGTCACGAGACATACTCACCTGACTTCACAGGAGTGGACGCTGAGTTCCTTGTGCAGCAGCCCGCTGGTGAGATGGTACACCAGGACAGAACCACTACCTGTGCCTGTCAAAACAACGCCAAGGAGAGCAGCGACTCAGTGAGGTTCCAGAGCGCGCCAACAAAAACTCTTCCCAAGATGTTAGTCACTTTCTAATAGTTATCTTTAAAAAAGGAATCTGAGTTACGTGCTAAAAAAATGAAAGCAAATCTCTCTGACCTTCCCTTGATCCAAAAATGGGCCTAATCTCAGGTGCTCTATAAAACCCACTGCCACTGAGTCGACTGTGCTTACAGCGACGCCCACTGGGTTTCCAAGGCTGTAAATCTTTCCGGAAGCAGACTGCCTCGTCTTCCTCCTGCAGAGCACTGGTGGAGCCTGAGCTGCTGACACTCTGGTTAACAGGTGAAGGCCTCACCTCCTATGCCTCCAGAGCTCCCTCAGGCGCCCTGCAAGCACACCTAACTCCAGGAAAGGTCTTCACAGAAAGATTCACATCCTAAGTCGACACACAGAAGACCTGAAGAGTGGCTTCCCAAGGCCTCCCACACCTGGGAGCTGGTCCTGTCTCAGATTCAGAATGTCTGCCCGTCTGGCCCCAAGAGGCCACCCAGCAGGGTTTACTAATCTGATTTCCTGATTTTTCTTTACAAGGCTTTTGTGTTTTGTCTTCTTATATTAAATAAACGAAACAGAGATAATACACTATGGTGGTTAATTGCAGATTTTACAGTTAAGAAACCTCGTTTCAAGCCCTGGCTTTGCCTTATACCCCTGGGTCAATTACTTGCCCAACTAAATCCCTGTCTCTATCTCTTTAAAATGCAAATAATACAAAATCTCTTTTGGAAATTAAATTAGAAAATATATGTAAAGTACTTAGGACAGCACCTAACACACTGTAAGCACTTGGCTGCCTGTCACTATTTCTGTTATCACTGAAAGTAGAGTTTGTAAGTAGTACTACGTCTAAAGGTCTCAGGTAGTATATCTAACATTTAACTCAAAGGGACTTGGACATACTTGAGAAAGCAAACCCTCAGTCCTTTATGATGTGTTTAAAAGTTAAGCCAGAAAAGTGATTGGTGTAATTGTTTGAACCATCACTTTCTCACTGTGCGCGTTTAAAAGGACTAATAGGCTCATACAAAGCAACAGAGTGGAAGGGCATTCTAGGCAAATTCAAATTTTTGCATATTTATGGAACAGGCCTCCAGAAGACTTTGGCAGAAACATGGCAGAAATACACAGTACTACACTTGCTTATGTTTGTCTTCTATTCCATACTACTACTCCATACTTAGAAAGTAGCTAAAGAATTACGACAATTTTGCAACTAACAGATCTTTAGGATAATCCCATGACCCCACTGTGTGAGTCTGAGGGCTGCTGAAACTACACCCTAAAACTCGAGGGGAACCACAGGGACAAGAAGGTCATGGTGGACACTGCTTCTCTTCCCCAGTGACTCTGCAAAACAAACCGAGACTTCTTTACTTTTACTTTGCTATCACAGTTCAATAAACTGAATACACAATTTGCTATTCACTATGTACCAGAGCTCTGGTGGCACAATGGCTAAGTTCTCAGCTGCTAACCACAAGGCTGGCAGCTCAAACCCACCTGAAGGCTCCATGGGAAAGAAGACCTGCTGATCTGCTCTCATGAAGATTCCAGGCTGGAAAACCCTATGGGGCAGTTCCACTGTTACCTGGAGTCACTCTGAGCCAGAATGGAAGCAGTCATACCCAACACCACCACCACCACACACCAATGCAAGACAGCTTAGTCTACGATGAGTATCTCAGACCTTGACAAAGCTCTCATTGTTTCTCTATGCCAAGGAGTAATTCTCCCCAAGAAAACTGTACATTGATAGATCCTAATTAAAGCCTCTAAAAGGTTTGGTGTGAAGCAATAGTTTATATATATATATATATTAAAAAAAAAAATTTGAATGTTTATGTACATTTTCATTCATCTGGGCCCTAGTACCATTGAACCTTAAAATTCAAATCACTTTCAGAAGATAGTAATGGAAAAAGTAGAAAAATAAGAGTACTGCCAAATCTTAATACCCAAATTAGCCTTTAGTACTTGACAATCAACCATAAAACTAACAGAGACATATTGGTCACAAAATAAATGTGGTTAAGTTTTCATTTTCATCAAAAAAAAAGAGCAAGAGAGAGAGAAGAATCATAAATCATATGGCCAAAGTCAACCCATAGCGTCTTAAGAAAACAACTTCAAATGTTCAAACAAGTAGACTGTTTTTTAAAAAATGTTGGAGAATGTGTTTTAATCTTAGGTTTCACTTTGCTATGAGATTAATGTGACAGCAAGTTAAAACTCAGATAAATTTTTCTATCTATAACATAAACATACCATTTCACCCAAAGACAAATCTAAGTTTGTAGAGATGGTAGCCATTTTAATCAACGTTTAAGACAAAATTCTTAGAAAATGAAAAACACTGCTCTTATAAAACTATTAACTGTGACTACATCACTAGTTAGCAAAGAGCAGTACCCAGTGACAAGCACAGGAAATGACTGGGGTGGTCATGAAAGACTAGGTCTAGGGCTCAGCATCACAGGGACTGTCCTAAAACTATGGAAATATTGATAGTGTCACGGACACTCTCCTCCTCCAGTGTCAGGTGGATGAGCTATCACTGTGATTGAAAATAAGTAAAAAGGCAGGTGCATTAAAGGTCAGAAAAAATAAACAAAGAGAAAAACGACAGCTGAAGAATAGTATTTTCTACTTACCCTCTTCCTCCTCCTCAGTGGTTCTCAAAGAGAACAGAGGATCTCCTAGTCAAATACACACACCCCTGCTGCCATCAAGCTGGCTCTGAGTCATGGCGACCCCACGTATTAGAGTAGAACTGAGCTCCACAGGTTTTCTTGGTGGTAATCTTTATGAAGACGCACCACCAGGCCTTTCTCTTGTGGTATCACTGGGTGTTTCAGTAACTAACCAGCCTAAATGACTTACCAAGTGTGAAACAGGCATGAAGAGCTGGGACAAGAAGAGAGCTACCACTCACCGACAGCCAGCAGGGGCTGATACATGTGGATATTCTTTGTGGTCAAGGGTGGACACATTCGGACGGCAAACGGCGGTAGGGGCAGTCCTGACAGCAGTCCTGTGAGCAGGAACCTCAGGTGCACCTCCTGCAAGACTGAGCCTTTGGGAAGTTCTTCTCCAACAATGGCACTTTGTCCTGATTTACAACAACAACAAAAAATACAGTAGTCTAATTATAACATGTGCTGAGCTTAAAAAGCTAAAGAAACTTTTCAGAGGAAACACTTTCCAGGTCTAGAAAAACGGTGTAATGTAGCATGCAAGGGGCTGTTAGCTACCTGGGCCACAGTGACCCTGTATGTGGCACTGGGACTTCAGTCACATCTTCTAACCCTAAGGACAGCCTACTCCAGAGTACTGCTGTCTACCCTGCAGGGACGCATGTCTTCCAAGAAAGACTTGACAGTTGGGCACCCACAAAAAGCTGCCGAACAAATCATGAGGCCCTGAGCTGGACAGCAGCTCTGTGGAGCTGATGCCACAGATTTCCGTCTCACTGCCTTTGCAAAGGGTCGCCTCTCTAACTGATGCGCTGTGTAAACTGCATGCAGAATAAGTAATGACAAACAAGAGGTTCCAAGAACTCACTTATGTTTCTAATACAAATGCTTCTGAATGGGTTACTCTCATTACAAAATTTAAACTCTACAATTAAGTATTTTACATATATATAAAATAATAAATATATAAATATGAATAAACAATATAGTAACTATCACTGTCCGTAGTTGAGTGGATCATTTTCAAATACACTGACAACTACATTATCAAGTCTCAAACTAAAAGATGGCTCCAACAAAACACACTCAACATGAAAGTGAACGGTACAACAAGATTAAGGCTGTTAACAAAAAAAGGTGTACCAACTGCCTTTCTATAAACCACTATGAATATTGAGATTAACTTGTCACAAATACCTAAGAATCCATTTGCATATATGCATATAGGCATACACAAAGGTATACATATGCGCACACATACACACATATACATACCTACACACATATACATATGCACACACATACATATATATACATACACACATGCATGCATATGCACACACACATATATGCATACACACATACACATCTATACACATAGACATAAACATACACATGCATGAATATGCGCAAAGACATACATACACATATACACATGCATATGCACACATATACATATATGCACACAGATACATATATGCACAGAGATACACATATAGACACACACATGCACATGCACATGCATAGATATGCACATACACAAGTACATACATGCATATGCATACATATTCATACATATACACACATACACATTAATACACATACACACATATATACATACACACGTACATGCATATGCACATACACATACACACAAATGCATATGCACACATACACACATATACATGCACATACACACATATACATACATACTCACATAAACATGTACATATACATACACACAGACACACACATATACACATACACACATGCATATGCATACATATACATATACACACATACATACACATACTCAAACATATACATACACACATATTTATACTGTAAAAAAGGAAAAATGTAAATCATTAAGAGTGGATGATAGGATTATAAACATAACTTTTTGAGACTATTAAGTTGTTTTAATAAAATTTTTTGTTAAATATGTAAGATATATAGAAAAAGTAGTCACTAATTTAATCCAATTAAAATGGGCCCTTAAAATTTGCCATACAATTGATAATATTCTTTCTACCTCATTTTAGTACCAAAAATGGGATCTAAAGGAATGAGAAGTTTAACAGGTAGGTTCCATGTATACCAACCAACCCTATTAGCTTAGACTTGAGTGCCCTCATGTTCCATCAAGCATCTTCCATAAAAGGCAACTCACAAGGTAGGACACACCAGGCCTTAAACAGCAGCAGCCCTGACCCAGTGAACAGAAACCAGGCCTCCATATTTAATGAAATTTTTTCAATTATCATAAGCACATGTTAGATTTCAAACTAAAAGTTAAATTAAAATTATCCAAGCTTTATTTATTTCATACTCTTAAATCAACTACATTCTCAAAAACTGCTCGACAATCTCCATTTTGTCTCTCAAATAAGGTAATTTACATCACTTAGATACCTAAACTGCACACAATTTCACCCTCTTATGGGCTTCATATTAATGATTAGTTCTGCAGGTGTGTTTATAATTCTTTTCACTTTCACATTTTATATTAAGTATAGACTAGGTCAATTAATTCAGAAAATTGTGTTAGCGACAGATTGAATTTTACAAAACTAGTAAGAGTCTGAATTTTCACAAATGGATTTCCATCTGGAGGATGGCTAGTAAGAACTTTAAGTGTACAAGGTAGTGTCATGGAGTAAAAGGATTTCATGACTGGCAAGAATCATGAGAACGCCGAGCCCTGGAGAGGTCAGAATCTTGCCGAAGACGACAGTGAAGCAGCTAGGATTGGAAGCAATTTCCTGGCTGAAGAGCCCGGGCTCCAGAGCCAGGATGGCATGGTTTGCATTTGGGCCTTTCCACTTTACTGGTGGTGTGACTTGGGAGATGGTATTTAATCTCTCTGGGCCTCAGTTTCCACATCTATAAAATAGAGACAATATTACCAGTGCTAGCTAAGGTTGTGTGTCAACTTGGCTGGGCCGTGATTCTGAATGGCTCCCCATGAGACTGGATGTGGTGTAATTATCTCCGCAGTGGAAATTGCTGTGAGCAGCTAATTAGCTGAAGGGGAGTTGCCTTCGGGGTGTGACCTGCTTCCAGTACATATGGAAAAGCTTTGGGAAAGGTCCTGCATTTGGCCCATCATCTTCTCCAGTTGCTGGACTTGAATGCCTGCCGTGTTGCCTGCCAACCTTAGGACTGCTGCTTTTGTAGCCCAAGAGCCAACAATCTGCTGTTTTACCTGCCGACCTTGGATTTGTCAGCCTCAGCAGCCAGCAATCAGCTACACTGCCTGCCAATCTTGAGTTTGTCAGCCCCTACAACCGTGTGAGCCATTTCCTTGAGTTACATTTACATACACACACATGTACATATATAAAAGCTTCACTGGTTATTCTTCTCCAGAGAACCCAGCCTAAAATATTACCTAATTCGCAAGATTATGGTGAAGTAAGACATAGCAAGGATTTGGCCTAGCACTTAACATAGTATTAAGCACTCAATAAATGTCAACTCTGATTCAGATGATTAATGCATTTCCTAATATATTATCTAAGGAGCTCTGGTAGCATAGTGCCTAAGGCACTTGACTGCTCACCAGAAGGCTGGCGGTTCAAACCCACCAGCCACTCCTCGGAAGGAAGGTTGGGCAATCCTACTTCTGTAGTGACACTGCCTCGGAAACCCAAGGAGGGGTCGCTATGAGTCGGGGCCAACTCGACGGCAAACAACAACAACAAAATATATTATCTATATAGCACTTAACAAAAACCTACTTAAAAAAAACCCACTTTCAATTACATTATGAAAGAATACATAATGATAGAAAAATCCCTTATAAGCCACAATGAACCATAATTTCAGTAAGAATTTCTTGGTATATTTACTTATCTCAGTGTTACAATTTCCACTTGCATAAGTGACTTCACAAATCCTCACTCTTCCTTTAATATATTGTTGTTGCTGTTAGCTGCCACTGAGTCCGTTCTTACAGCAACACCCCGCACAACAGAACGGACACTGCCTGGTCCGGTGCCATCCTCCCAACTGGTGCCACGCTTGAGCCCAGTGCTGCAACCAAGGTGACGTCAGTCCATCTCGCTGAGGGTGTCCCCTTTTGCTGACCTTCTACTATACCAAGCGTGATGTCCTCTCCAGACACTGGTCCATTCTGACACATGACCAGAGTACAAGAGTTGAAGTCCAGTCATTCCTACTTCTAAGGAGCATTCCGGCCGCACTTCCTCTAAGACAAATTTGTTCATGCTTCTAGCAGCCCGTGATACACTCAATATTCTTTGCCGACACAATTCAAATGCGTGAATCCTTCTGCAGCCTTCCTCATCCCTTGTCCTCCTCTCACACGCACATAAGGCTACTGAAAATACCATGTCTTCAGTCAGTCCCACCTTAAGTCTCCAAAGTGACATCTTTGCTCTCAGACACTTTAAAGAGGTCTTTTACAACGTATTTGCTCAATGCAATATACATCATTTGATTTCTTGACTGCTATTTCCACGCATGCTGATTGTGAATCCAAGTAAAATGAAATCCTTGACAACTACAATCTTTTCTCTATTTATCAGGATGTTGCTTATTGGTCAAATTGGGAGGATTTCTGTTTTCTTTATGTTGAGGTATAATCCATACTGAAGGAGTATAGTCTTTGATCTTCATCAATAAGTGCTTCAAGTCTTTTACACTTTCAGCAAGCTAGGTTATGTCACCTGCATATAGCAGGTTGTTACTGAGTCTTCCTCCAATCCAATCCCATCCTTCATATTGTCCAGCTTCTCAGACGATTTGCTAAGTACACAGATTGACTAAGTATAGTGAAAGCATAGAACCTTGACCACAACATTCCTGCTTTAAACCAGGCAGTGGCCCCTCACTCTTTTCCAAACTACTGCCTCTTGGTCTATGTACAGGTTCCTTATGAGCACAACTAAGTGTTGTGGAATCCCGTTCTTCACAATATCGTCCATAATTTATGACCCTATGACCCACACAGTTAAATGCCTTTTCATAGTCAATACAACACAGGTAAACACCTTTCTGGTATTCTCTGCTTTCAGCCAAGATCCATCTGACATCAGCAACAATATTCCTTATTCCACATTCTCTTCAGAATTCGGACTGAATTTCTGGCAGTTCTGTCAATGTACTACTACAATTGTTTTGGAATCATCTTCAGCAAAACTGTACTTGCGAATGATATTGTTCGATAATTTTTGCATTCTGCTGGATGAGTTTTCCTTGGGATGGGCACAAATATGGCTCTCTTCCAGTCAGATGGCCAAGTAGCTGTCTTCCAAATTAAATGCGTGAGCGCCTCCAGTGCTGCATCCATTTGTTGAAACACCTCAATGGGCATTCTGTCAATTCCTGGCGCCTTGTTTTTAGCCAATTCCTTCAGTGCAGCTACAGTTGAAAGAAGTCCTGATACCACCACTTTTTGATCACGTGCTAACTCCAGAAATGGCTGAGCATCAACCAATTCTTCTTGGTACAGTGACTCTGTGTATTCCTTCCATCTTCTTTTGATGCTTTCTGCATGATTCAATATTTTGCCCACATTGTTGTTGTTGTTATGTGCCATCGAGTTGGACCCGACTCATAGCGACCCCTCCTTGGGTTTCTGAGGTGGTGTCACTATGGAAGTAGATTGCCCCATCTTCCTTCCGAGGAGTGGCTGGTGGGTTTGAACCGCCAGCCTTCTGGTTAGCAGTCAAGTGCCTTAGGCACCATGCTACCAGAGCTCTTTATTTCGATACTGCAACTTGAGGCTTGAATTTCTTCTTCAGTTCCTTCAGCTGGAGAAATACTGAACATGTTCTTCCCTTCTGATTTTTCTAACTCCAGGTCTTTGCACATCTCATTATAATACTTTGTCTTCTCAAGCTGCTCTCTGAAATCTTCTGTTCAGCTCTTTCACTTCACCATTTCTTCCATTCACTTTAGCAACTCTCCATTCAAGAGCAAGATTCAGGGTCTCTTCTGACATCCATTTTGGTCTTCTTTTCCTTTCCTGTCTTTTTAATGACCTTCTGCTTTTTTCACGTATGGTATTCTTGATGTCATCCCACAACTCGTCTGGTTTTTGGTCACTGGTGTTCAATATGTCAAATCTCTTCCTCTGATGATCTCTAAATTCGGGTGGGATATATTCAAGGTCGTATTTTAGTTCTTGTGGACTTGTTTTAAGTTTCTTCTACTTCTGCATAAACTTGTACACAAGCAATTGATGGTCTGTTCCACAGCCAGTCCCTGGGCTTGTTCTGACTGATGATACTGAGCTTCTCTGCTGTCTCTTTCCACAGATGTAGTCAATTTGATTCCTGTGTATTCCATAAGGCAAGGTCCGTGTATATAGTCACCATTTATGTTGTTGAGAAAAGGTATTTGCAATAAATAAGTCATTGTTCTCATAAAATTCTATCATGTGATCTTTGGCATCATTTCTATCACCAAGGCTGTATTTTCCAACTACCAATGCTTCTTCGTTTCCAACTTTTGCATTCCAATCACCAGTAATTATCAATAAATCTTGACTGCAGGTTTGGTCAATTTCAGACTGCAGAAGTTGGTAAAAATCATCATTTCTTCATCTTTGGCTTTAATGATTTGTGTATAAATTTGAATATGAGTTGTATTAACTGGTCTTCCTCGTAGGCCTATGGATATTATCCTATCACTGACAGTACTGGACTTCAGGAGAGATCCTGAAATGTTCCTTTTGAATGATGAAGGCAACACCATTCCTCTTTAAATCGTCATTCCTGGCACTGTAGGTGATACAATGATCTGATTCAAAATGGCCAAAACCAGTCCATTTCAGCTCACTAATGCCTAGGATATTAATTTGTATGTGTTCCATTTCATTTTTTGTAACTTCCAATTTTCCTAGTTCAATACTTCCTACATTCCATGTTCTGATTATTAATGGGATGTCTGCAGCTGTTTCTTCTCATTTTGAGTCATGCCACATCAGCAATTGAAGGTCCAGAAAGCTTTACTCCACCTACATCATTAAGGTCACCTCTACTTTGAGGAGGCAGCTCTTCCCCAGTCATATTTTGAGAGTCTTCTGACATGAGGGGCTCATCTTCTGGCACTATGTCAGACAATGTTTCCCTGCTATTCACAAGGTTCTTAGTGGAAAATTCTTTCAGAAGAGGACCTGGCCCCATCCTTCTCTCCAGTCTGTCTTAGTCTGGAAGCGCTGCTGAAACCTGTCCACCACGGCTGACTCTGCTGGTATTTGAAACACCAGTGGCATAGCTTCTGGCATCATAGCAACAAGCAAGCCACCACAGTACAAGAAGAAGTTTAAAACAGGATTTTATTTGCAAATTATCATTTGCTGAAAGAACTCTGAACATGAAAATAAGGAAATTTATATACAAAAAGGTAAACATAATTTTTCTAATATTGCTGCTACTGTATTCCTTCAAAAAATATGTATTGAACATTCAGAATGTGTTAGACCCTGCGCTGAATGCTGAGGGATGCAAAATTGAATAAAACTCTGTCCACACCCTCGTACAGAAAAAAAAAAAAAAAAAAAAAACTAAACTCACCGCTGTCAAGTCGGATTCGATTCATAGCGACCCCTCCCTGGGGTTTCCGAGGTGGCATCTCTACAGAAGTAGATTGCCCAATTTTTCTTCTGAGGAGTGGCTGGTGGGTTTGAACTGCCAGCCTTCTGGTTAGCAGTCAAATGCCTTAGGCACTACGCCACCAGAGCTTCTCGTGTGGACAAGTAAACCACAACTACGATACGGTACAATATTGTATGGTACAATAAATACGGTATCACAGTTGACAACTATTAGGGACCAAAAAGGAACACCTAAAACAGTCTTGAGAGATTGAAGAAAGCAACATGTGTGAGCTGCATTTTGAATTACAAATAGCAGAGAGAAGAGAGAAGACAAGCATATTCAATTCTGAGCAAGGGGCAGCAGGTGTGGCAGCCCAGGAGGGTACGGTACAGCTTAGAAGGAACACTGCTTAGAAGGAATACGGCTTACAAGGATCCAGATGCCCATTTCCTCTCTGTCTTTCAGATCACAGAGTTTCTCATAATTGAACGTTTTTAATTCCAACAACTATAATGCCAATCTATGCTGCCTGAAGCACTTCTATACTTAATTATTTTATACTCCTCTGATTTATTTAGGAAAGAATGGTTTTACATTTTCGTTTTCTCAAGTATCGCTTTGACTTTATAGTAACTGCAAAGCAAAGACTCCATTAATGTTGCCCTTCAAAAAGCACACCTAACATGAAAGTCAGAGGGAAAACACGCTTACCAATCATGTTATCCAAGGAGAGGTCTGGGGGCTTGCTGTGTAGCACTCCGACAGGGATCCCACAGAAGGACACAGGGGAATATAAAGGTGACACTCCAGAACTACTGCAAAGACATGACGATTAGATAATTTTACACATTTAAAACATGCATTACAGGCTGGTACCTCAAACCATCAAATCCAGATCATGGCATCCTACCTATATAGTAATATTACCCAAAGGTAAAAGACTACATAATTCTGTAATACTCTAAAGCTTAATTATCACTTTAAAAATGTTTTAATAGACAAAAGTCCTTATTATTTTTATATGCTTTTGGTTAAGTATAAAAAGGAGGGAAAAGAAATACAAGAGATTCTGTTGGTTCCCTTACCTGTTCCGGGAACCACGATTACAGACAGCAGACTTCAGCTCCCATATCATGACCCTTCCGTCACTCACTATGAGGGCAGCCGTGTTCTCGTTGACAGGACAGCACACCATACTAAACGGACGAACTGTCTTTGTCACCCTGATGGCATCGCACTGGCTGCGTAAGTCATAGGTCAGCTCCTGAACGGGATCTGGATCTTAACATAAAATTGTTTTCTTTCCAGTATCAGAAAGTGACCCCATCAGTATCACTACTATGAGTTTCAATTTAAATTAAACCTTAATTAAAAAAATAAATCATTCCTTTACTAATGCCAAATCTGTCAAGAGTGGCTTCACTTTTTAGTTACTACTAATTTCTTCAGAATATAATAGGAGCTCTGGTGATGCTGTGGTTAAAGCATCTAGCTGCTAACCAAAAGGTCAGTGGTTCAAACCCACTAAGTCACTCCATGGGTGAAAGATGAGGCAGTCTACTTCTATAAAGATGTACAGCTTTAGAAATCCTATGGGGCAGTTCTGCTCGGTCCTATAGGGTCACTTTGAGTCAGAATCAACTCAAGGGCAGTGGGTGTATTTGGTGTCAGAATATAAAGATAATTCACTTAACAACTGTACACACTGAGTTTCATCTCCCAAGTGACAATCATGATCAAGAGAGTTTGTTTTGAATATTTTTAAATTGAAACAAAAAAAAAAGCTTTGCAAAAGGATCAAGAGTGATACATGACTAAATAAAGAACATCATATTGTAGACCAACACATTGTAGCAGTCTGTGATACACCTGAAAATAACTGTCCTTCACAAAAGATGTGAAAATCCCTGCTACCCTTACATAACACCTCATTTCATAAAATCCTTCTATCCTTCAGGATAAGACAGTAACTGCTAACAGGACACCCTGGAGACTTTTTAACTTACTTTACAACGGAAATCCCTACAGCAGAGGGAAAGCCCAGGGGGTGTAATAATAAAGAAATGCTAGGTCAATTTGCTCTGAAGAGTAATTTGCAAAAACATAACAGCCCCTTGACCCATGGACACAGGCCCAGAGGAATTCAAAACAGTCTTTTCTTTGTGCATGTAACAAGTGCATTGTTAGAAGACCAAGAAATCAAGAAGCCATGGCCTTGTACTTTTTTTAAGGCTTTTCTTGAAACCATTTTTAAGGTAATCATTAACTGGACTGGCTGGCACATGGGGCTTTATAAAATAATCCCACAGAAAAATGTAATTAATAATACTACGAACTCACCTGGCTCCTCATTTGAAGCGCTGACAATACTATTATAAGATCTGCGAACACGTAAAGTAATACAACCATTTTCATGCAGGCAAAATAAACCATCACGCTGAAAGCAGGGTATCACCTTCCAAAGAGAGGATGCATTTATTTCTGAGAACTTAATCAATTAATAGAGTATCTAGAGTGTGATTTAGAGAACATGAGCAAAACAGACAAAATCAAAAATTCGCACAACACTAAATGAACATCTTTTTATTTTTATTTGTGAACTGGGTGAAAATTTACAGAGCAAATTCACTTTCCATACAGCAGTTCACACGCATTGTCTCATGACATTGACCACAATTCACCACAATGCAACAGCTCCCCTCCCACGTCCTCCCAATAGTCACCTCTTCCCTGTCCATCCCTCCATGCACCCCTGCCCCCTAAGCTGTCTCCCTGTGCATAAACAGCCCTTCCTTCTCCCATGATTGTTCTCTCCAAGGAGTGTATCTACCTCAGGTAAATGTTTAACTCCTATGCCTGTCTTTTGTTTGGCTGGAAACCATGGGTGTGGGTTTAAATGAACATTTTAAAAGTTATATGTAATCCAAAAACTTTGCCCATTAGTGATGTAACCTAAAGAGCTTGGTAAGTTCCTCCAGATCAGTCAGAAGAAGTTTTTAGGCAAACCACCCCGATGAAAAGCACAGAATAATAAGGAATATAAAACAATACTGGAGAGAACAGAAAACAGCACTAAGGACTTGGCAAGATGGCCTCTCTCTAAGAACTCAATCATCACCAACTTCGGCACACGTAACTCACGAACTGCAGGTACCTGTAGAAATGGAACTCCTGTTCGCTCTATGGCGATAACACCCACTGTCTGATTCACCTCAAGGTCCAGGATTAAAATCTCTCGAGGGTACAGAAGCAGCATGTGATTCCTCTTGGAAGGCAGATATGCCAACTGAAGGCAGTCGTTGAGAGTTACGAATTCAGCGCTAAAGAGTAAACACTTACTTCAGACATTGTGAAAGGAATCAACATCACTCACATTGGAAAAAGCTAATAGAGCATTTAATTTTGTACTTTTCATATAAAAATTGTCAATGAGAAAGTACAACTACTTTCTGAAATGGCCAACATGGGCTAGCATCCAAAACTTAGACCTCTACTACCTGCCAAAATCCAAACTGTGATGAAAGTACTGTAGAAACTGGGTGTAGACTTCAGTGTTGTAGATTTCTGAAAATTTAAAGTAAAGAAGAAAGAAGAATACGTCTGTGATCTGAGACGGTAAGTAAGAAGGACTACACTGCCATTCAGAAGGTGATAGTTTTATTTTATTTTTAGTTTGCAAGTAAAAATAGTAGACAGACTGCTAGACTGCGAAAGTCAAGACTCAGGATTAAAACAAAATATTCAGGATATTTGGGCCACTAGGCTACAAGTCAACGACGCTACCTATCAGTATGGCCTGGAGCCAGTCACCTGCCCTCCTTCTAAGTGTAGTTTTCTCAACTACAAATGACAAGGGCACACTACACAGCCTCTGGTCCATGAATCTAAAAGGTTCTTCAACTCTTCCTTCATTCACTTTGAAGCTGTGATAAAATCTTTTATAAAACAAACAGTATTTATTCAGTGATATCAAAGTATTTTCCTTAGATGCAACTACACGAGGATCGTAAAAGACTCAAGGAATCAGAAAATCATTTTGTAATTTGTGATCAATACTTTTATCAACCACAGTCATTTTATATTCAATAGCTACAGGAACAGACATAATAATATGCACTATTTTCTTTACATATAATAAATTTATTAAACAGATTTTAAATTTAAAAATAAATTTAGAGGCTGTGAAAGAGAAGGACTTGGACTGCATTAAAATGCTGGCCCTGCTACTTCCTAGTCGGGGGAACCTGAGTAACACACTCAGTTTCCTCATCTGGAAAATGGGAACAGTACTACCACTCGGGGCTGTGGTAAGATTACATTAAATAAGGTATGTGAAGTCAGCCAGAGCAGTTCTACTTGAAAGGATAATTTATTTTCTAAATACTGAAGATGTATATATGATTCATGAGAGAAAATAGGGCATATATGAATTACAACTTACAAAACTACACTGCAAAATAATTATTTATTTATAATAGAAAATCAATGAAAATTATTTAGAATGTTCTCTTAAAATATTTAAGGAGTAAGAGTAAATCATTTTGGAATAGGGTAGGGAATAAATTAGCGTTTTTAACCAGTCTATGATTTAATATATAAAATTATATTTACAAACAAATTCTGAATGCATTTGTAAAACAATTACTACTTTCACCAGTTTTTAGATAGTCATACACAAAATGTATACCTCTATGGAAGTAGATTGCTCAATCTGCCTTCCAAGGAGTGGCTGGTAGGTTTGAACTACCAGCTTTCTGGTTAGCAGTCAAATGCCTTAGGCACAATGCCACCACAGCTCCCATAATATACATTAAAAATAAAAACTATTTAAAAACAAAGGCCAAAAAAACTGTCAGAACAATAAAAATACAGAAACAACCATTGTTCTAGGTAAAAGGCAGAAATCTACTTCTGAGGCACACAATTAATCACTTATAATAAAATTTTTTTCAGCAGCAATTTTCTTAAATAAATAATAGCCAGCATTTACTAAGTAAATGCTAAAGACCAGCCACTATTTTTAGTACTTTTTATATGTAGCAATCCTTATAGCACCCTATGAAATGCCTTAAAACTCTATTTTAAAGACATGAAGAGAGAAGTCTGAGCAAGGTTAACGACATTTCTCAGAGTCACACAGCTAAGGCTTCCCCAGAACCCCGGCCCTTAACCAGGATGGGAAACATCTTCACCTGCATAAGAAACACCCCCGGATCTGACTGGCCAATGAGACCACATTGCATCCAAGTCAGGAACATGCATCTGAAATGAAGATCCAGCTGTAGCCTCACAATGTGAGCACATCCCATAACCTCATCATTGCAATCTTCATTTCATATGATCAGAAATAGACATGAGAAGTCCACTTTTACTCTGTAAAATCAGTGGGGGCAGTTCTGCACAACCAATGGAAACAGAAACCACGTGAAACACTGAAGCTCCTCTTCACAGGAGACGAAAACAAATTTTTCCTTTCATCAGTCCAAAATCACAAACCAGGAAGGGTAAGATGAAGAAGCCCATCTTAATTCATTCTAAGGACAGGACTATCCCACCTGGTAAGCAGAGGGATGCCGCCACCAATTTTACACTTAAAACTTACCTCGGTTTCTCCTGAGTGATTAAAATTTTCACTTTATTAAGTGCCTTTTTGGCACCCGTGGCTGCAGCCAGCTTGCTGTGAGCAGGGCTGGAGTGTGGGCTGGATATGTACACTTTCTTCCCAGGGCCGGAGGGAGGCTTGGATGGAGAGAAGTCAGATATGAATATAATACCCTCGCTGGTGAGCACTGTGTTAAGAGAAACAAAACTCTGATTAAAGTTTAATCAAGTTTAGCACAGAGTTTTACTCCAATACAGTTTTTGAGAGCAAGGTAATTGATCATTTTAATATAGAACTGGCAGTGCTCTGCAGGGCAAGCACGGTGGGATGTTCTCCAAGTTAACAGAAACAGGTGGTCCATTGCAATTCAGCAGAGGCCTCCAAGCTCAGCATTCTAAGTGACTGCTTTATATTAAAAAGATACCAGAAGGTTATTGGCAAAACGAGCAAATGTTTGTTCTTCCAAATACATTCAGTGCATGCACTTTCATTAAAAATCTCCTCACTGCATCCCACAACTTCTCTTTTCAATGACTTTTCAGAACAAAAAATTACAGAGGAAAAAAGGCCTGTATGTAAGTTGCTATGCATATAACCATTGCTGTTGTAAAGGTCCCGAGTTGGTTCTGACTCACAGTGACTCTATGTACAAGAACCTATGTACCAAAACCCTATGTACAAGAACAATGTCTAGTCCTGCACCATCCTCACAACCCTCGCTATGCTTGAGCTTATCATAGCTGTGTCAATCCATCTCACTGAGGTTCTTCCTCTTTTTCTCTAACTCTATGAAGCATGATATCCTTCCCCAAAGACTGGTCCCTTCTGACAACATGACCAAAGTATGGGAGGCAAAATTCAGTCATTCTCGCTTCTAAGAAGCATTACAGCTGTACTTTTTTCCAGAGAGACTAGTTCATTCGTTGGCAGTCCATGGTATTTCACAATTCAAATGCATCAATTCTTCTTCAGTCGTCTTCACACATTGTCCAGCTTTCACATGGATATGAGGCAACTGAATATACCATGGTTTGGGTCAGGTGCACCTTAGTCTTCAAACCGGCATCTTTGCTCTTTAACACATTAAAAAGGTCTTTTACAGCAGATTTGCCAGATGCAGAACATCATCTCATTTCTTGAAAGCTGCTTCCATGGTTGTTCATTGTGGATCCAAATAAAATGAAATCCCTGACAACTTCAATCTTTTCTCCACTTCTCACACTGTTGCTTATTGGTCTAGTTGTGAGGATTTGTGTTTTGTACTGAAGTGTAATCCATACCAAAGGCTATAGTTTTTGATTATTAAGCCTTCAGCTCATAATCACTTTCAGCATGCCAGGTTGTGTCATCTGCACATCACAGGGTGTTAATGAGTATTCCTCCAATTCTGATGCCATGTTCTTCTTTATATACAGTTTCTTGGATTATGTGCTTAGCATTCAGATTGAACAAACATGGTGAAAGATACAACCTGGACACACACCCTCCCTGATTTTAAAACCATGCAGTATCCTCTTGCTCTGTCCAATCAACTGCCTCTTGGTCTCTGTACAGGTTCCTCATGAGCACAATTAAGTGTTCTGGAATTCCCATTCTTTGCAATCTTCCACAATTTGTTAGGGGTCTAGGTAGCATAGTGCCTAAGGCACTTGACTGCTAACCAGAAGGCTGGCGGTTCAAACCCACCAGCTACTCCTCGGAAGGAAGGTTGGGCAATCCTACTTCCGTAGTGATACTGCCTCGGAAACCCAAGGAGGGGTCGCTATGAGTCGAGGCCGACTCGACAGCAAGTAACAACAAACAACATAATTTGTTACGATCAACATAGTCAAAACACAGGTAAATATCTTTCTGGTATTCTTCACTTTCAATCAAGATCCATCTAACATTACTCATTCTGTTGGATCATCTTTCTTGGAATGGGCACAGATATGGATCTCTTCCAATGAACTGGCCAGATAGCTGTTTTTCAAATTTCTTGGCATAAACAAGTGAGTGCCTCCAGTGTTACATCCATTTGTTGAAACATCTCAATGGGTATTCCATCCATTTGGGGCTTTGTTTTTCACCAATTCTTTCAGTGCAGCTTCGACTTCTTCCTTCAGTACCACTGGTTCTACATCATATGCTACCTCTGGAAATGGTTGACAATCGGCCAATTCTTTGTGGTACAGGGACTCTGTGTTCCCTCCATCTTCTGTTGATGCTTCCTGTATCATTCAATATTTTGCCCATACAATCTTTTAACATTGCAACTCTGGCTTGAATTTTTTCTTCAGTTCTTTAAGCTTGAGAAATGCCAAGCATGTTCTTCCCTTATGGTTTTCTAATTCTAGGTCTTTGCACATTTCATTATAGTATTTTACTTTGATTTTCGAGCCACCCTTTGAAATATCTCTTCAGCTCCTTTATTTCATTCACTTTAGCTACACTCTGTTCAAGAGCAGGTTTCAGAGTCTCTTCTGGCATCCATTTTGGTCTTTTCTTCCTTTCCTGTCTTTAATGACCTTCTGTTGTCTTCATTCATGATGTTCTTAATGTCATCCTGCAACTCATCTGGTATTTGGTCATTGATGTTCAATGCATCAAATATATTCTTCAGAATAGTATCTAAATGCAGGTGGGATATAATCAAGGTTGTATTTTGGTTCTTGTGGACTTGTTTTAATTTTCTTCAGCTTCAACTTGAACTTGCTTATGAGCAATTGGTCTATTCCTCAGTCAGCTCCTGGCTAAATCATCAAATATTTGAACTTAGCTAATGGTGATACAGTTAAGGCTAGGTGCCAACTGTATCACTATCAGCTATGTTCAAATATTTGATTTGTGATATTAAATTTTTTATGATTATTACAAGCTACTAAGTCTAGATACATTTCCTTTTTCTTCTTAAGCATCAGATTAAATCGCAGAACGTGTAAAGAGCATCTTTTTACATTTATAATTGGGGAGGAAGAGTAAGAGTACAACAAGGGCTTGCTAAGTCTAACAAAAATATTCAAGCAAGACAGCACTACACTGAGCGATGCACATCATTCTGCTTTATGACTGGAACTCTGCGAAGGCAGGAGTGCTTCCCCTGGTTCACTGACAGACTGCAGGATCCCGGAGCAATGCCTGACACACAGTAAGCGCTCAAGAACATCTGCTGGGTGACCGAATAAAGACGGTTCTAATTAAATTAGCCACAGAAATATTTTCTAATTTTTAGATCAGCTCAGTAAAATACCAAAAGCATACTGGCAAAAATAACGTCTACAAGGAAAAATTCCCTTGGGCTTATTCTGTTCCTTACACGCATCTGTTTATGGTACACAACTAATGGTATAAATTAGAATAATTCTTTTAAAAAGAAAGAACTTAGTTTGGACATAGACTAAAACTCTTTCATTAAGGAACTCAAGTCCTTTGAGTGTTCCAAGAAAAACATATTTGATCATGTCCGAATTACAGTACCACAGCAACCCTCTATCCCTGACTAGCCTAATTCTATTAACAAATTCAATACAGTGAAAGCGAGGCTTGCTGACTTCAATTTCAATGAAAACTCTTACAGAAAAGAGGGGGGTGAGATTTAGTATCTGTATCAGGAGCAATGGATACACAGACTACATGTGCTTCTCCATTTTGCTCAGCCGTTTTAACATAAGTATGTCATGCGTGTACATATGTCTTATGTATACAACATTAACTATATTACAAATGCCTTCCTTATTTTACACCAGCAAATACTACTCACATGTTACGTGCGAGGGATCAAAAGGGTCAAAAGAAAAAGAAAGAATGTTATCAGCATAGCTCTTCTTCCAAAGTTTGGTGCCAGTGTCTGCGTTCCACAGCACAATGTAATTTGGAGGGTGGATAGCGAGAAGTAAATCCCGGGAAGCATCTTGGTTCCACAACCACTGGACATCTGCAAATGCCAAGCAAATAAGGTGAAGTTCAGGAACCACCCACTTCAGAAAGCACTGGCTAACTTGTCCTTAATATTGGTTGTTGTTGTTGCTGTGTGCCCTCGGGTTGGACCCAACTCATAGTGATCCCTCCTTGGGTTTCCAAGGCGGTTTCACTACAGAAGTAGACTGCCCAACCTTAGTTCCGAGGAGTGGCTCGTGGGTTTGAACTGCCAGCCTTCTGGTTAGCAGTCAAATCTTTTAAAAAATATAGTCCTTAAAATCTTAATGTCTATAAAATGCAATGTGTGTATGTATGAAGACTGTACTGGAGAAGTTAATTTTACATAAAAAATAAGCTAGCTGGTTAAAATCTCAAGTTTGAATTTTTCAAGCAATCTGAAATATGACTTCAAAAAATAAAAAAGCAATCTGCATTAATAATTACTTAAAACTTTACAAAATCAATAGGTCAAAGACTCTCTTAGCACCTTCTGTGGAACCACTTAATGGGACTTTAAGGTCAAAGACTCTCTTAGCACCTTCTATGGAATCACTTAATGGGACTTTGCAGTGTTTTCATGATTTTCCCTAACAATACATGAGAGAAAGATCACTTCGATACCTAACACATATTAAACACTCAATAAATATTTTTTAAATGTCTAAGGAAAGCCACTCAGTCAAATCTTTGAGTCAAAAGAACACTATACTGGTTTTATGTGAGCACCGTCATTAAACAAATAAGCAAACAAACCGTCTAAATAAAAATGAATAAAATGCTGATCATCTTTGTTAATGGAAGCAAGCATCAAGGGTTAATACAAATGTCAACTCAGCCAAATTTACTTAGATTACTGGACAGTTTGCAACAGCTTACTTTTTCTTATGATGCAACTTGGCTGAGGCTCATGTTGCTATTAACATGCCCTGTCAAAGCATGCCTGGGCTGAAATTTGACCAGAAGCGTACTGATGAGGATGGAAAGCTAGATTCAAATCAGAAGAAGAGGCTCAATACAATCAAGAGCAGACGGAAAACTGATGAAGTCACACAAAGGAAAACGTTCCAGATGCTCCAAGACGCGGACCAGCAGAAGCCCTGAGCAGGGCAGACTGTCCTCACCCTGGATAGGTTTGGCATGCTCCTGGATCTCACACTGCGCTACGCCCGCTGCCACATCCCACACGATGATCTTCCCGTTGACATCCGCAGAAGCTAAGCGCAAGGAATAGGGTGAGCCGATGTTATGGTGATAGTTCTCCCGGGCCCATTTCACCTGGTATCAAGAAGAAATCACATCAAGTAAATACTCGCACTGGATAAAACTAAACATAATTTTCACAAAACAACCAGAAAATGAAAACCACACTTACATTTTAAGAACACCATTTAGTACAAATAAACAAATAAATGGAACCTGGTTTCCATCTTGAAAGTTACACATTTTTATTATTTATGGTCTATTTTTAAAGTAGAGGTTAATATATTTCTTAAAACATCATAATGTTCTTGCCTTTAAAATTAAAAAAAAAATGATGCCAGGCTTTAATAACTTAGGAAATTCAAGTTATAAAACTCCAGAACACCACAGAAATTAGTTTTCCTAAAATTTAATTATAACACCATTTTGGTTCTCTAAACCCACTGCCCTTGAGTCTATTCTGACTCATGATGACTCTCATTGTGCTTCCAAGGTGGAAAATCTTTATAGAAGTAGATTGCCCTGTCTCCTTCTGTGGAGTGGCTGCTTGATTTAAATTGCCAGCCTTCTGGTTAGCAGTCAAATGCCCTAGGGACTGTGCCAGCAAAGCTCTTTTAGTTCCCTAGTGCTGCTATAACAGAAAGATCACAAGTGGATGGCTTTAACAAACAGAGGCTAGGAGTCCAAATTCAGAGTGCCTCAGAGTGACAGCTCCAGGGACTGGGTCAAGGCCCCTCGACTTTGACCTTCAGCTCTCTGCCTCTTGTTCCAGGCTCAATGGAGCTGGAGGTATCTCCTTATTGAAGCAGCTGCTGGCTGCTGAGGCTGACCATATATATGTCAGCAGGTCGAAAGGTAAAACACGTCAGTAGGTTGGCAGGTAAATACCAAGATCAGCAGGCAACACAGCAGGCCACTGGTTCAGGTACAGAAACTAGAGATGAAGACTTGGCCAAATGCAGGATCCAAATGTGCCAAAAAGCTAGCCACCTTCCTCAAAGCTTTCCCATATATACAGGAAGTCAGTCAAACTCCAAAGGCAACTACTTAGCTACTTACAACAGATTCCATCATGGAGGTGATTATAATCTCATCATGGAGAATAACTGCCAAGCCACTCAAAACCACAGCCCAGCCAAGTTGACACACAACCTTAACCACCACAGATACCAAAACCAAACCCATTGCCATTGAGTCTATTCCAACTCAGAGACCCTAGAGGGTTTTCAAGGCTGTAAATCTTTATCGAAGCAGACTGCCACAACTTTCCCCATGGAACAGCTGGTGGGTCCAAACTGTCAACCTTTCATTTAGCAGCCAAGTGCTTATCCACTGTGCCACAAGGGCTCCTTTAATTATGATAGGACATCTAAAATCCTAAACTGCTAAATAAAATGTTTTTCTGTATTCTATTCTCCCAACTAAAAGGAGACAACCTACAGATACAAAAACTTTGCTAAGGGAAAAAACACAGACAAATTCTGGTTATTTCTCTTTTATGTAATTAGAAAAAAGGTTACAATTTCTTTCTCTAAAAACATTGTATCCCTTCATACCTCTATATAAAAAAAAAAAAAAAAAAACGCACAGGAATAGAATTTGTAAACTAAAGAACACAAAAATTCTAGGATACCAGCACCTGGTTAGATTCCTGAACAATGAATATTGACAGAGAAGGAATAGATAGTCTTTACCATAAGCCAGGGACTTCCCTGGCCATTCTAAAGAAGGTCACTGTCTTTTACCATTCTATCTTCACACCTGGCTTGTTCTTACAAGGCATTCACCAAACAATTTGTAATCAACTAATCAGTTTATGCATTCACCTATCACCAACTTACAGACTGAAAGCTCCACAGGGCAGGGTCATGTAAACTCTGCTTATATTTCTATTTCCAGATCTCAGATGGTGCCTACAGCTGGTGATCAACAAGCATGTGTTGAACTTAAAACACCACAAAGACTTCAAATATAACTATATACATATACACAAACAACAAAATAAACATTGCCAAGTTCATTGCCCTCAAGTTCATTCCAACTCATAGTGACCCTATAGGACAGAATAGAACTGCCCCATAAGATTTTCAAGGCTATAAATCTTTATGGAAGCAGACTGCTATATCTCTCTCCCAGGGGTTCGAACAGCTCACCTTTTGGTTAGCAGCTGAGTACCTTAATCACTGCACCACGAGGGCTTATAAGCATGCATACACACACATATAAATACATGAACACACACATGTGTTCACGAACACCCACACATGCTAAGTTAAGAAAGTAAGCAAACTAATTGCAATAAGTGACCATGGAAAAGAGAGACAAGGACGTTTTGCATAGGGAACTGGTCTTTGGAAGCTAATCAATAAGTGAGATGAGGGTTTATAATGGGAAAAAATAGTACACTAAAAACCTAGACACATCATTGTCAAACTGCTGAAAACAAATGACAAGGAGAAAATCTTGAAGTTAGGCACAAAGAAAAACATACAGTGCATAACAAGAAACAAAGACAAGAATTTGAGCAGAGCTCTCATCAGAAGTTATGCAAGCTGGATGACAACAGTGTGACCTCTTTAAAGTACTAACAGAACAAAATGCCAACCCAGGGAAGGTATCTTTCAAAAACAAGGTGAAATAAAGGCTTTCTCAGACAAAAGATTGGAGAATCAACTAACATCAAACACACACTTCAAGAATTGAAAGTTCTTCAGACAAAGCAAGTATAATACCAAGCTGAAACTCAGACCTATAAAAAGAAATGAAAGTTACAGAAATGGCTAATAAAAAAAAGTAAACATAAGACATTTTTGTCAAAAAAACCAAAACCTACACCTAACATCAGATTTAATGGTGAAAGACTGAATGTTTTTCCCCATAAGATCAAAAACAAAGCCAGGATATTCTCACAACACTCCTCCTATTAAACACTGTACTAGAGGTCCAAGCCAGTGTAACATGGCAAGAAAAATAAATAAAAGATATCCAGATTATAAATGAAAAAAGTCTTTATGCATAGATGATATGATTATATAAAAAAATTCCACAGAATCTACAAAAATAATACTAGATCTAATAAGGGAGATCAGGAAGATCACAGCACACAAGTCAATACACAAAAATCAAATGTATTATTCTCTACCTCACACCACATACAAAAACTAACTCAACGTAAGAGCTAAAGTTACACAATTCTGAAAAGATACTCAGTATCACTAGTCATGGGAGCTCTGGTGGTGTAGTGCCTAAGGCATTTGACTGCTAACCAGAAGGCTGGAGGTTCAAACCCACCAGCCGCTCCTCAGAAGGAAGGTTGGGTAATCTACTTCTGTAGTGATACTACCTCGGAAACCCAAGGAGGGGTCGCTATGAGTCAGATCCAACTCAACTGCAGTTGAATTTGGTTTTGGTTTTTTTATCACTAGCCATAAGGGAAATGAAAACCAAAACTGTAATGAGATACCACTTCACATCCACTAGGATGGCTATTATCAAATAGCAGAAAATAAGAAGTATTGTACAGGATGTGGCAACATTGGAACCCTCTTATACTGCTGGTGAGAATATAAAGCTATAGCCAGTTTGGAAAACAGTCTGGCAGTTCCTTCAGTAGTGAAACATAAAATTATCATATCACTTGGCAATTCCCCTTGCAGAAACATAACATATAGCAAAATAAATATGCTCCAAAATAAACACACGTTCACACAAAAACACGTGCACAAATGTTCATCACATTATTCATAATAGCCAAAAAGTGGAAAATATCCAAATTATCTTTAATAAGCAAAATGTGGTATGCCCATACAATGAAATGTTATTTGGCCATGTTATTGTTGTTGTTGTTGTTATGTGCCGTCGAGTCACACCTGACTCAGAGACCCCTCCTTGGGTTCCCGAGGCAGTATCACTACGGAAGTAGATTGCCCCACCTTCCTTCCGAGGAGTGGCCGGTGGGTTTGAACCACCAGCCTTCTGGTTAGCAGTCAAGTGCCTTAAGCACTACACTACTATTATTTGGCCATAAGAGTGAACTACTGACTTGTGCTACAACATGGATCAAAAGCACTTTGCTGAGTGAAGGAAGCCAGTTATAAAAGACCACATAGTGACTCCATTTATATGAAATGTACAGATAAGAAAATCAATCTACAAAGACAAAATGTAGTTAGTGGTTGCCTAATAGCAGGGAGGACTGGGATGACAGCAAAAGACACGGGGTTTCTTTGGGGTGATGAAAATATCCTGAAGTTGGTTGTGATGATTACTGTGTAACTCTGTGAATATATTAAAAAACACTGAATTGTACACTTTCCATGAGTGAATTTTATGTACAAATTAGGTCTCAATAAAGCTGTCACAATTCCCCTCCCCCAAATACATGACCTCAAATCTCTATCTCCAACCTTGATCCTAAACCTCAGGATCACTATACTTCAATTGCCCCAAGCATCTCAGACTCAGCATGCTGAAAACTTAAAATCACTGATTTAATTTCCTCATCTTCCCACAGTGGCAACCATAAGCCCTGGAGTCATCTTCTCTCTTGGCGCTCCCTCAAATGGACCACTACAGACTATCAAGTTTACCTCCCAAGAAGGGGCTCCTAAATGCTTCACCTTCATGCCTCTGCCTTATTTCCTGCCAATTTGGCAGCAAAACTTCCTGCCAAAATTTCTGCATTACTGCAAAGCTTTCTGAATGATCTCACTGCCTTCAGCCTTGCCCTTCTCCAATCCATCCATCCTCTCCACTTCTGCTAGAGTGCTTTTCTTCTAACATGCAAATATAGTCCTATCAGTCTCTTACTTAAAAATTCAAAGTCCTTTATAGTCTCATGCTGTTGTTGCTTTGTGCCGTCAAGTCGGACCCGACTCATAGCGACCCCTCCTTGGGTTTCCGAGGTAGTATCACTACAGAAGTAGATTGCCCCATCTTCCTTCCAAGGAGTGGCTGGTGGATTTGAACCGGCAGCCTTCTGGTTAGCAGTCAAGTGCCTTAGCCACTATGCTACCAGAGCTCCCTTATAGTCTCGTAAAACCTTTAAAATAGGTGAATCTCTGGCTGCCCCTTTCACCAGCCCTGCAAATGCATCCCATCTTGACCATAAAGAACTACAGGCATACCTTGTTTTACTGCACTTCCCAGATATTGTGTGTTTTCCAAAATGATCATTGTGGCAATCCTGTGTTGAGCAAGTCTGTCAGCAACATTTTTCTAACAGCATGTGCTCACTTCATGTCTCTGTGTTACATTTTGGTAATTCTCACAATATTTCAAATTTTTTCATAGTGCTCTTGCATACTTAAAAAGATTACATCAGAGTGTAAAGATAACTTTTACATGTGCTCAAAAAAAACCAAACTCACTGCTGTCGAGTCGGATCTGACTCACAGCAACCCCTCCTTGGGTTTCCGAGGCAGTATCTCTACAGAAGTAGATTGTGCCCCATCTTCCTTCCAAAGAGTGGCTGGTGGATTTGAACCACCAGCCTTCTGGTTAGCAGTCAAATGCCTTAGGCACTACGCCACCAGAGCTCCCTTTATATGTACCAAAAAATTCATGTGACTCACTTTATTGAGACACTTTATTGCTGTGGTCTGGAATCAAACCTGTAAGAGGCATGCTTGTAGTTAATTTGTGTATGTTCTTCCTTTTCCCTCCAATGCTCATTGCCTGGTTTTTCAGTTGTAACACTGTTTAACTATTCCCTAAACTGCAGAGACTTTTGTTACCCTCTCTTAATCCTCCACACACAAAACACCAAATCCACTGCCACTGAGTTGATCCTGACTCATAGCGACCCTAAAAGACAGAGTAGAACTGCCCCATTGGCTGCAAATCTTCACAGAAGCAGACTGCCTCATCTTTCTGCTATGGAGCAGTTGTTAGGTTTGTTAGGTTTGAACTACCAACTTTCTGGTTAGCAGCCAAATGCTTTAGCCACTACACCACTAGAACTCCCTCTAAACCCCCCAAGTAGGTGATGTGTTGCTCCTTTGGTTTCCTACAGCATGCCACACATGTGTCACTTATCGTACTGTGAGTATTTGTGTGGGTTTTTTTTTTTTTTGGGCGGGGGGGTCTTCCTCACTAGTCTGCATGAGGGCTTTCATCTCTATATCCTCAGCAAACAGTCAGATAATGTTCAAAACTAATGGATGAATGAGTGGCACAGGAAATGGTAGTATCCGTGTGTTCTAGCAGCTATAAAATGACCCAAGAACTAGCATTCAATAGCTCATCTTGGACTCACATTAAGACATATATTGGGAAGCGCTAGCCTGTTCCAACGGAAGGCAGGTTGGGCAATCTACTTCCATAGTGATACTACCTTGGAAACCCAAGGAGGGGTCGCTGTGAGTCAGATCCGCATTGAAGGCAGTGAGTTTTTGAGCCTGCTCCAAATGGATTATCATATTTAAAAGCTATTCATATGACTTAATGAAAGTCTAGTGATATTCAAAACCATAGAACAGAAAGTATAATGTACTAGGATCACAGTGGCCTTTGACTTACCTTGACAACATCAGCTTTATGCTTTTCTAAAACCTGAAGAGTCTGGGCAGTGTTTGAATGGATCACCACCACAAGTGAGTGACATCCATAAGCAATTAAACCTTGCCAGCCCCTAACAAAACAGAAATGTTACAATTTAAGCATATATGAAAAACAAGATTTCACTTCTTTCCTTTCAGGAGGCATCCTAGATAAATGATAAACCTAAATTAAATGTACCACTCGTAATAAAATGATTATTTTAAGCCTACCAGCATTTTACATTATTCCATGTAAATAAAAGGTCCAACAAAGCTTACAAATGCTTGTTGGAAATTCATTTTTCATTTATTATCTCTAGAAAAAGTTTTAATAGACATACATATACAGCCAAGAGCATGCATAAAGCAACCAGCAGAGCTGTCTGTATCCTTGTTCTTGAGGACATGCCAAAAACCAAACCAACTGCCATCTAGTCCATTCCGACTCATAGGGACCCTACAGGTCAAAGCAGAACTGCCCCATAAGGTTCCCAAGGTTGCAAATCTTTACAAAGCAGACCACCCCATTTTGGTGGGGCAGAATGCTTTAACTACAACACCACCAGAACCTTATTCAACTTTGAATCCTTAGCATCAGGCAAAGGGCTTATCACCATCCTGGGTATTATCTGCGGTTGCTGGCAACCTTGCAACCAGATAAAAAGACCAACGGTAGACCCCTAAGCAGGAGCTCTGGTAGCATAGTGCCTAAGGCACTTGACTGCTATCCAAGAGGCTGGCGGTTCAAATCCACCAGCCACTCCTTGGAAGGAAGATGGGGCAATCTACTTCCCTAGTGATACTGCCTCAGAAACCCAAGGAGGGGTCGCTATGAGTCGGGTCTGACTTGACGGCACATAACAACAACAGACCCCTAAGCAGGTTTCAGTCCTCTTGACATTATCAAGAGCCACAGCGACAGAATTTTTGCCCTTACATTTGACAAGTATTTAGTTTTCAGAGCTGCAGTGTTATTTTTACGATGAAAAGATAAAAAGTAAGAGGAACGACCCGTTGTGGCTGGGAGCGTCCTTCAGAAGAGCCAGAGAAGAGGAGAGATGAAGGGCAAGTCTGGCCATGGATGAATGGCACCCTGTCCAAGTGAAGGTGAGAAACGGGGAGAAGAGAGAATGGCGGACAGAAAGCAGGTACGGGAGTGGAGGGAGGCGGGGAGAAGCCAGGAGCCTGGGATGGCAAGGAAGGCGGCGCCCGCAAAGCAACAAAAGAAACAAAGGTGGGCCGGAGGGGCAGGGGTATTTGCACAGGACATTTACCACTTGGGACTTCTTCTTTTTTTTTTTTTTTTTTGGCATTTATTACTTTTAAAACAAAACAAAACACGGCATTTAAAAGAAAATCTCCATAGTGGGAGGACGGCTCCCTGTCTTGGTGAGGCCAGACTAACTAAAGGGGTGAAATCTCTCATCCCTTCCCTCCCCTCACACACTTCTGGCCGAGCCTGGGCGGCCTCGAGCGTGTCGCCCTCACCAGTCCACCGCCGCCTTGTTGTGGGCGTTGAGGGCCCCCGTGATGGTGCGAGCCGACACCTTGAAATTCACTGTGTAGGGTAACATCGTAGAAGCTGAACCCAGCCCTCCCGGCCGGCCGGCAACCAGGAAGCCGCGGCGCCCGAGTTTCCGTCCCAAGCATTGTCCGGGTGGCCCCGAGGGCGCTGCGGACGGGTTCCGCTGCATCCAAGGTTCCACAGCCCACGGGTTCCGTCGCCTCCGGATTTCGCCGCCCCAGCTTCCGCCGCTTCCGGGTTTGAGCGCTTCTACGGTTTCTGCTGGTGCAGTGGTTAAAGCATTCCGCTGCTAGCCAAAGGTTGGCGGTTCGAACCCACCAGCCACTCTGTGGGAGAAAGATGAGGCAGTCTGCTTCCATAAAGATTTACAGCCTTGGAAACCCAATGGAGCAGCTCTAGTTGGTGGGGACCAGAGCATGCGACATTGCTGATTCTTGGAGACAGCAGAGGAAAGGGATGAAGATAGACAGAAAAATAGATGACTGAATAAATCACTTGAATTTGTCACTCAGCTTTCCAGTGTGACTGGTATATTTGCAAATAGGCTTGAGCATGGATGTTGAGGATGAAGACGATGAAGTCAGTGGCTTTCTGCTGAGTGCCCACGACATTCCGGTTACTGGGATCACCATTTACATGCACCACCAGTCCATTCAATATCCCTGAGAGGGCATTATCACAAGTGTTCTAGAGATGACAACACTGAGTTGCCCAAGGTTACACCATCGTTCAAAGGCAGAGCCACAGTGGGAACCCACACGCACCTGCCTCGGAAACTCATACTTATCACTACTGACAACGCCACGCTTTCGGTATCACCCTCTACTCCGCAGTCCGGTTGGAATGACCTCCAGCTTCCTGGGCAGCCTGGAATTTTTTAAAAGTAAACTTTATTAAGATGCAATTTAAATACGATACAATGCACCCATTAAAGGTGTACAATTTACACCTTATTTTCACAGAGTTGTGCACTATCACCACAGTCAATTTTAGAATGTTTTCGTCACTCTGAGAAGAAACTCCATACCCCTTAGCAGCTACACCCCATTTCTCCCATGGCCCCAGCCCCTGGGAACCACTGATCTGCTTTCTATCGCTACAGGTTAGCCTGTTGTAGACATTTCTTAGAAACGGAACCATGCAGTATGTGGCCCTCTGTCTGGCTTCTTCCACTTGGCCTGCTTTACAGATTCATCCTTACTATAGCATGCAGCAGTACTTCATTCCTTTTTGTTACTAAATAACAATTACATGGACATAGCACATATTGTCTAAGCTGATGAATGGTTCAGTTGTTTCTGCTTTATGACTATTATGAATAATACCATATGTGTCCACATAGATAGCTTTGTGTGGACAGAGCTGTTCAGTTCTATTCAACACCTACCTAGGAGCAAAATTGATGGCCTATATGGTAAGATTTTAAACCAGACTGCCAGACCATTTTCCAAAGAGGCTACACCATTCATTCTACATTCCCACAAACAATGTATGAGGGTTCCAATTTTTCCACATCCTGACCAACACTTGTTACCATTTGTCTTCTTTATTAACAGCCATCATAGTGGATGTGGAGTGGTGTCTTAGGGTGGTTTTGGTTTGCATTTCCCAGGTGGCTAGTGATTTTAAATATCTTTTTAGGCGCATATTAGCCATTTGTATATCTTCTTTGGACAAATGTCTATTCAGATTTTTTGTCCATTTTTAAAATAGCTTATTTGTCTTTTCATCATTGTGTCATAACAGTTATGTGTTTACTCTAAATACAAGACCCTTATTCAGTATCTGCTTTGCAGAAATATTCTCCCATTCTCATCCACTTGGCTGAGCAAACATTCCCAATAAGGTCAAGGTCTTATTTCCAAAAATAAAAAAGATAGCCCTGGCCTGGTTGTGGCCTGATTGTGGAAAAGAAAGGGAACCCAGTTCTAATACTGACATGTGTGAGCATGGATGCACTCCCAGAAAAATAAAATTAGCCTTGGATTGGTTTATTTAGTTCCATATTTATATTTTTAAATATTAAATATTTTTCAAATTTCTGTGTTATTTTATTTCATTTAAAATGGCAGGATGTTGAGCAGTTCAGCACCATGTGGTGGTTCCATTCAAGTCCTGCACATGTAACCATTCATGTGACCTTCACACTTGTCCAGTACCTCTAGGCCACAGGCCTTTATGTGCTTAAGTCGGTAACATCCACATGCTGTATGTGGTCCTGTAAAGGCTTTCGAATGCCCCACGATACCAGATATCATTTGCTGAGCACTTGCCCGTGTTGCTACTCAGTGAGCTAAGCAGCTTCCATTGCTTCAGCCTCACAGTGAGTTTTATTCTTCTGGCAACGGGGAGTCATGGGAGGTTAGTGTTAGTAATAGAAGAGCATTCATTGTGACTTTGGGCGCATCCTTAGTGCACTTCCTTTTGCTCTCTTGCTGTTTTCAGGGAAAGGTGGTGAACTGTCTGCCTTATTTACCAAGTGCCGCCGTAACATGATTACCACGAGGGGGTGGCTTTAAACAGACACTTGTTTTCTTCCATTTCTGGAGGCTGAAAGCTCAAATCAGGATCTCAACTGTGTTGATTCCTTCCTTGTCCATGGCCCTGGGCCTTCCTTGGTTCCTTGGCTTGTGCTGGTTTGTACATGATCCTTACCTGGTGTCTGCCTTGTCCCATCTCTACTGCACAACGTCTCTACTGTTCTTTTCAAAACGCAGAAGTGATTAGGTTTTGGATCCATCCTACACTGGTATGAGCTCAATTGACTGATGAATTCTATGACATTAGTTTGCATTATGGAAAGTAATCTGCTCTACCCAAGGCCAACTGATTCAATCACATCATTAACTCAACCACACATGACCAGGGCTCCAATTGTTGTTGTTGTTGTTATGTGCCTTCGAGTCGGCCCCGACTCATAGCGACCCCTCCTTGGGTTTCCGAGGCAGTATCACTACGGAAGTAGGATTGCCCAACCTTCCTTCCAAGGAGTGGCTGGTGGGTTTGAACCGCCAGCCTTCTGGTTAGCAGTCAAGTGCTTTAGCCACTATGCTACCAGAGCTCCTATTACCTTTTTTTTTTTCCAGGGAGGCCACACAATTTGATCCATAACACCATCCCTGCATGATTAAAAGCATTAAATTAGATAATATATTAAAAGAACCTATCACAGCACCTAGTCTCCCACAAAAACCAAACAAAACCAAACCCACTGCCATTGAGTCAATTCTGACTCATAGCAAACCTATAGGACACAGTAGAACTGCCCCATAGGGTGTCCAAGGTTGTAAATCTTTACAGACATAAACTACCTCATCTTTCTCTCACAGAGTGGCTACTGGGTTTGAACTGCTGACCTTTAGGTTAGCAGTCAAATGCTTTAACCACTGCACCATCAGAGCTACATCACCTTATTATTTGCTGACAGAGCTGGGGCATCAATCCAGATACCCTGTTTTCAATGACAGTACTACCCTGAACTTGAAGAAAGATCTTGTCCTCTGGAAGTTACAACTTGCAAGGGAGAAGTAATAAGGATTTGGGTAAAAGTGGAGTTGGATTTGTTGTGTCAACCACCAGGATACCAGAACCACAGCAGCCAGCTTCAAAACGAGGACTTCAAGGGTCACACCAGTGCACGTAGCCATCATCATTGGGCAAATCTCAGTGCCCCATATTGCTGTTGGCCTAGAGGAGCTAACTCAGCTCTTTCTAAGACAGCAGGCTGTGTGAGCTGCTAGCAGGCCCAGTTAACGCTCCACCAGAGGCATAGGTGGGGAAGGCCACCCTACCAGTCACATCCTGCTCACTTCAGGTTTGTGGAGCAGGCTGCAAGGGCTCTTCTCAGGCTGCGTTGCCACTCAGAACAGTCTCCTGCCTAATGGCCACATGGCCTCCCATAATTCTAGCATCAAAACATGCCAAGACATTTACTGCTGCTATTAATTTATACTGTTGGTATTTCAAATGGGTCAATCCCTTATTATTTGACTGAAAGCTTTCATCTATATTATTTCAATTGAATTTTAAACCATCCCAGTTTTGTCTACAGTGGATATCATCAACCCTGTTTTCTAGATGAAGGTACTCACCTCAGAAAGATTAAGTGACTTACCCAAGACCACACATCTGTCACCCATCACACATCAGTGACAGAGGTGAGACCTGGACCAGGTTGTCTGCTCCAAAGCTAGTGCTCCATCTGAGACATAGAGCTGCTCCATGTATGAGATTCAGGGGTTGCTGAGAGGTTCACAGAGGGTGACACAGCCACCAGGAGTACACATTTCATGCAGTCAGAACATTTGAACGGGATGGCCCCCAGTATCATTGATGGACTGCTCCCACACCTTAGACTTGTCTCCTCATCTTTCCTCGGGTTCTCCCTTAAACACCTTCTGCCCTGTCCTTACAGCACTGTGGATGGTCATCAGTTTGATTTATTATTTGGCTCCACTTGTTACTAATCTTTTTTTATGTCTCTACATATTACAGGTAATAATCACAGTACAATGAATTCATTGCTGCCCTTTATGATGGTGATTGAGGTTGATTAGACTGAAGGGAGCTTCTGAGAGGAGTAGTCATGAGGAAATGGAATTGTCTTGAGTAGGTTGTGTGAGGGGTGTGCTTTCCTTAGACCTTAAACACAAGGAGAGGCAGTGGGTGCTTCTGGGTACAGCGAGGACTTTGCAGTTAGCAAGGAGTCCTGCTCTGGCCCTGTTATCTCTGAGCTCTGGGACTTTAGCAAGTTTATAGGGATAAAAATATCACATCATGGCATCATTATAAGCATGAAATGGTATAATATATGTAAGGTAGGAGCTCTGGTGCATAGTGCCTAAGGCATTTATCTGCTAACCAGAGGCTGGCGGTTCAAAATCATGAGGAAGCCTGGGCAGTCTGCTTCCATAGGGATACCACCTTGGAAATCCAAGGAGGGGTCGCTATGAGTCGAAGCGACTCAATGGCAATGAGTTTGGTTTGGTTTGGTTTATGAAAGGTGTCTAAAGTCAGTAATCAATACATTGTAATTAATTAACACTTGCTGTGTGTGTGACCTTGGAAAAAGAATGGAACCTTGCTGGGCTCAGTTTCCTCATCTGTACAATGGGGCCAGTAACTGGTAAGGTTGTGTGAGGACTAACTGAGGTCAGGTATGCAGCAGAGAACCTGGCAGGGGGTAGGAGTTTTTACTGTTGTCATGAAGACAGAGGCCAATCCTCCACTCTGTG